TCTCGATTTAGACCGAACGCTGGCCGCTGGGTATTTAGAATCGGTCCGGTTGTTACAACTGATCCAAGATTCGATTTGAACAGATAGAAAAATTATATATTTTATCTTTATAATTATTTATCTACTACTACTAAATATTATTTAACCAATGACCTTGACTACTTATATATAAAAAAACATTTATGTTATTTTTGAATTAAAACTAGTATAAATGTTTTTTTAGAAATTTTAACATAAAAATCGTGACTTAATAGCTATCCACTAACCTTATTTGATTAATAAAAAATGCCAGCACACAAAGCCTTAATCTCAATTTAAAGTCTCTAGTTCAAAACTGACCGTTATTATGTGTACCCCTTTCCGAAGGAAAAAGCAATGCTAGACACTTGGACTCATAACGACGTAGGGTGATAGTATAACTGGGATGAAAAATCGATAGGTAGCTTTAAGTATTCATGTATTTTGATGACCTAATGTTCAACAAGGTCTGAGTTAGTTGGAATCACACAATAAAAGTGTACCTGGTAAAAAATAGAATATGATCGGGTTCAAAATTCATTTGCTAATTAAAAAAGCGTTCATCCGTAACTAAAAATATATTTCCCTAAAATACATTTAATATTTAACACAAATTAATGCATGGTTGTAATAACGCCATGAAATTAAGATTTAAATATTATCATTTTTTATTTCTTTGAAATTTCAATCCGATAACCAAGAAGTTTTCTAGTTAAAACCAACGGAGCTGAGGGTTTATTGCAGTATTATATTTGATGAATAAAGGTATTATTTCTGGATATCTATGAAAAATATTAGATCCCAAAAATTTCAATCGTAATTATGCCAGTTATTTTAAATTATTTCCATCTATGAATGCCTTATTCAAAGCCATTCGATTTTCCAGATGTGTTGTGGGTGAAATAATATACTTCTCTCCATATGTATGCTTAAATCCAAAGATTAAATTTAAGTATAATTTAAATTTTATCATCCCATCTATTCAGGGTCGTAGCCAGGAATTTGCACTTAGGGGGGCCAAGTGCTTACTTGGGGGGGGGGGGGCACTATTTTTTAAAAATCAAACAAATAATTACGCATTCATAGAAATTTTTTCCTATTTTTTATTAAAAATTTAATAACAAAATAATACTATAATATAAATATACAAAACAAAATAATACTATAATATGCATATACAAAACAAAATATTACTATAATAGAATACGGCGATTTTTATTTTTAAATTTTAATATAAATGAACTAAAAGATAAATTCTGCGTTATTCTTTTTTCATACGCCATTAATACTAAATTTTGTTTACGTTTATCCTTCATAGACTCTCTACTGCTAGATAAAACTCTCTTTATAGTAGAGAACGAGGCCTCACAAGAAGCCGTTGATATCCCAATGATTATAGCTGCTGAGTAGCATTTATATAATTCTTTAAATGCATGATTATATTTTTTTATGCATAATATGTAAGATATTTTCAAAATTATGATTTTCTTTAGCTTCCGAAGCTAGCAATCCTTTTGCTATCTTCATTTCATGATGCAGTGTTTCCATATTTAAGTTTAACAGGGATTTTAATGGGGCCATTTTATCTGATAAAAAATAATCAGGGTCAAGGTGGGGACAATGTATTAAAAGATGAAAAAAGATTAAATTCTGTAAATCGGTCTAAAAAACGATCCACAAAGTTATCTATAATTTCATAATATATCCTTTTTAAAGAACTCCAATTGGAGTCTTTTTCACAATCGAATTCTAGTTTGCTATCAACTAAAAAATCTTGGAAATTTTTAGGCGTTTTACGTACCCGTGATGATTTTTGGGGAGTAAGATTAAATTTTGATAAAAGTTTTTCAGCCTTAATCATAATCAAAGCAAAATAATTATCACTTCTTTTATTTTTTAATATATTGATAGTAGAATCAATACAATTTTTAGCATCCACTAGATTAGTACCTACTGATTGTAGATACTTATTTAATGGATCATTGTAATTAATATCTCATAAATTATGATCGCTAATATAATGTAATTTATATTAATACATTGAGATAAAAGACCAGAGGCTTCGACTGAATCATGAATTGAAACCTCTGAATTAAGAGTTCTATTTGAAAAGTAAAATAATACTTCACCAATAGCCTCAAAATTATCATAAATAATGCGAGATGTTTCCAAATGACCAGTCCACCTCTGGTCTAAAAGTTTCTTAAGGGTGTGGCCTGTATATTTACAGGATACGTTAAAACGCCTGAAAAAATTATACAATGCATTTGATAAATTAAAAAAATTAGAAATAATAACAATATTATTATACCAATTTGAACCACAAGATGCAACTTGTGGTTGTAGCAATGTATAAAAGGAACATTTTTATTTAATTTTTTTTGAAGAAGTGTTTGCACTCCTCCATTTCGGCTAGACATAACGTTTGCACATCATATGCCTGGCTTATTATATTAGCTGAATTAATATTTAGATCATTAAGTTGCTTTAAAATGCAATCTGTAATGCTTTCAGCAGAAAGACACTCTAAATTAATGATTCCTATTAAATTTTCTTGGATTTCTTCAGAAAAAATATAGCGAATTATTATGCTCAGGTTTTCACAACCTGAGGCATCTTTTGTCTCATCAGCCTTAAGACAAAAAAAGGCATCTCATTTTTATTATATTTGTCTGAAATATGTTCAAGCACCATATCTGCCATAATGGATATTACTTCGTTTTGAATCTGTGGTAATGTATACTGGGCATTTTGGGGTATAAATTTCATAATTTTATTTAATTCAGGGTCTTTTTGGTGGTGTAGGAAAACATTGCTATAAATAGCCCAGAAGAATAAATTATGTTTTCATCTTTTGCAGCATCCGTAATAATTGTTGAACCAGTTCCACGGAAAGGTAGCTCTTGTATGCTAAGAAATAGCATCAAATCAAATACTGATTTTATATAATATTGATTACGATTAATTTGATCACCCACCAACATTTTAGTTATTTCTGTACCTTTGTTTATATTTTGATTTTTATCATGCCATATTGTAATTGAATTTAAATGAGCTTTTGAGCTCTCGTGTTTTAGCAGTCTCTTCTTGGCAGCTAACGCATTTTTCCAATTTATGAATCCCGTTTGTCCAAATTCATCACTTGGATTACACAAGTATTTCCTACATGGAAAACAAAAGGCAGCGTCAGCTTCTACACTATACTCAACCAGTCTCGGCCTCTATACCAAGATTTTTGAAATGATCTTTGCCTTCTATGGATATCTTTTTTCGCGTAATTGTTTAATTTGATTTGTTCTGGCCAAGGTCACCTGGGATTTGAATTGAACCATTAGAGGACTTTTTTGACACTAAAAATATAATAATTAATAAATTGTAATGAGGGAAAGGGTCATAAATAATAATGGTCATCAGGATGGGCGAAGGAAGGGCATGCTGAATGAACAAACACAAAATTTATCTTGTATTTAAGATACAAGTATTTGCTATACTGTAGTGCCCAACCCTGATGAAGATTATCAGTAAAGTTGGTCAGTAAAATTATAGATATTCAGTATTAAAAACTAGAAAAAGGTCATAAACATTATATCTTTAAAGAATAACAAAAAATATAATATTTTTATATTTATAAATCAATTACTAGTTGCCTCTTGACAATGAGAGACTGAGCTGCTAGATGACGATGATTGAGTCTCTTCGTCTTTATTTGTTTTAAAATCAAAATGTAATAATGAAACACCATAATCTCCTACTCCAATTGATATTGTCAAAAATATATAAATAGAAAAATTTGGGTTAAATTTTAAACTATTTACCATCTTCTCCTCCTGAGTGTAGTGAGGATCATTTTCCAAATTATTAGCTTCATTCATATCTTGAAATATGAGTGAATATATTTATTTTAATAATTAAAATTATTATACAAAAATGATAATATTAATAATAAATGCCTGTCTCTTATTTATATAAAATAAATATATATGAAATAATAATATATAGGTATGGCCTAAATCAATATCATATAAGTCATGAAATAATAATATAAATTTATACTAACTATGAGAAGAATCAGTTTCTGAAATTTCTGATGTAGTATTACTAGTAGTTTGTAGAAGTGATGTTGCTTGACATTTGTTTAACTTTAACTTGAAATAAGAGTTAATAACTGATTGTTTCTTCATAATTTAAAATAAACGCTGTAAAATAAAATAACTGGTTATATATTATAATATAAATGTGATACCTATAAAGATTGTTATACACAACAAAAACAAATGAAAAAAAAATGAATGAATAATTTAATATTGGGTAAAAATAAAACAGGATAGAAAAAAATTTACAAACTGGACATGTTTGTAGAATAAATATTCAAAATTTATTTTAAAAATATAAAAATAATCAATTCTAAATAGACATGTTTTTTGAATATTTTTGAATAAATATTCAAAATTTATATTAAAAATAATCAATTCTAAAAAAAAATTTAAATTGGAGGGGGGGGGGGCAGGGGAATTTTTTTTGTGGGGGGGCGGGCCCCCCTTAGCTACGGCCCTGCATCTATTAACGCATCTAATAATGATTAGCAATAAGCTAAGTATTTTTTTTTAATTTGAGTAATATTATTGTTATTGGCGTCAAATAGCTAAATGAAAAATGTGATGCATATTAGTTAAAAACTGAAATACATATTGTAATTAGGCCATGGCAAAGATATAACATCAGAATCCTAACTATCAGATATATCTATATATAAATAATTTATAAACTTAAGTATAGTAATAGTTAAATATAACTGTCAGAAAGGAAGTGCTGAAAAATACTTGAAGAAAACAGTTATGTAAGATAAAATATATTTAAAAACGAACGCGTCGTTAAAAAAAATAGGTTAACGTTCAAAATTTGCCTATTTACCGTAAAATGAATTTAATTTAATTCTTTACTATTTTTATATCATCAACAGAAAGAGAATCATGCTTTTTATTTTTAGGTTCTCCGATATATTTATGATGTTTTATATTCACATTTATATGTATATAAATAAAGAAGGAATTATCGATTAATTGGCGATAAACTTGCTTTTTATAAATTTTTGATTTGCTTGACCATTTCTTCAATTGAAAGTTCGGAATCTTCGTCTACGTATAAATCTTCCTACAAATAAATTATTTAGAAAAATAAAATCCTCTGTACGCAAGGCAAATTTGTCTATTTTAATGGTAAATAGAAAGTTACTCGATTCAATTTTATTTGCATATTTTTAAATGCTTTGGCATATTGTTTTAAATTATAAAAACTATTATGTATATCGACTACATATATAAGAATTAGAATATTATTAGAAAACAAAACAAGTAATTAAAAATATCAAAAGTGGAAGAAGAAAAAAGGGTTTCTAATATTAGATCCCATTTCGTTCTAGGGTGCTAATTTGGTATTATCTTTAGTAATGACGTGTCTATTGTAACGTTTGGGGTATTTCATTAACCAAAATTTTTCCAACCCTATTTCTATCAGATCTTATGGCCAAAAAAATTGGGGCGGGGCAACTTTACAAAATATTTTTCGATATGTATTGGATAATTTGTATAAAATGTATTTTTGGCTTATCGTAGTAATTGACCAACCGGAATGAGGTTATTAATGTTTTATTTTACTGTAATCTTTAAAAATTTATAAATAAGAATTCGTTTCGTTATTAGAAACTATTTGTACTGGAATACATAATGAAATTTATTTTTATAAGCTCGACGGTCATCCCTGCATTCTAGATAAAGATATTTTTATAGGAAATTTGTTATGTCCAGTAATTGCAATATTAGATATTTTTTACAGCAATATATAATATCGCTGTTAATTCCTGACAACCATAAATATACTTTGGCTAAGGCTTTCATGTTTTCTTATAAAAATAACTTTGATGAAATAAGACAAATAAAAATAAAGCCGCCTATATTATGAATGATAGAAACCTGTTGAAAATCCCATTACTTTATGTCAAGCATGATGATTTTTACTAAAAGGTTGAGGAAAATTATATATATATAATGTTAAGGACTCGTGATATTTGCAGGAAAATATATTTAAAGAACATCAAATATTATCAGTTTGAAAAAAATCTTGAAAAATTTTTTTAATTTTTGATTTCATCTTGAATTATTTTTTATGCATAAAAATTACTATAAAAAAATTTTTTTTTTTAAATTTGATCAAAAATCTCTCTACCTGCAGAGTTGAATAGGTCCGGGAACAGATTCTTTATAAAAAAATGAATCTTAGATACAGATACTAGTAACTTTTGCTAAAATAGAGTATCTTAAATACAAGATACTATTACATTATCATTACCAATTAAATTAGAATAATTTATAAAATACAGTTTTTTATTTATATGTGAAGAAGCTATCATATGCATATAATAAGAATGCATATTTACAATTAATAAAAATGAGAATTAATAATAATAATCAAACTTTAATATTAGTATTAGCCCATTTTTGGCATCGATAGGGAAAGAGAGACTAGTATTTTTAATAGGAGTTGAAATATTAATTTGCAAAAGAGTATTTAAAATAGATTCATTATTTTATAAGATGATCAAATTTTTCAAACAATTTATCATTATACCTTTGCCGTTTCGGCGTACTTAACATTGTGCCAAAACTAAATAACCTTTGAATTGCATATTTTTTAAAAAATTCCATAATAGAAGGATAATAATTAATCATTTATAATGTATTTTGACTTTCTTTAAAATAATTTAAAACCTCCAGTTCAATGTTATTTGTATTATTAAACTCAAAAATAATTACCATTTTCTTTATTAGATGTTTGAGATCTATTGGTGTTATAATTTAAGCTTGATTATAAACTCTGGTAAAGTATTTTCTTATCATCTAACTCAATCCATAAGTTCTTAAATGCCAAAAAAGCCTCGTTATATTCATATTGGAAATTTTTTTTCAAAATCTCTTGCCCATACCATCTTGGGCAAGTTTTTAATAAAGGTAGAGAATATGGTAAACTTGAATTTTTAAGATAACCTATGTCCCTTTTAACCACATATAAATAATATACTTTAATATGTTTAAAAAATTTGTGTTGAACCTTTATCATTTTTTTGTTTATACAGGTTTTAAATTCAGTCTGTACATTATCTTTTTTAACTTTTATTTAAAAAAAATTTCCATCTAAAATTTAAAAAATTGGATTTGATTCAGGGGAACTTATTTTAATAATTTATATTTCACTACCTTCTTCTTCACTACCATGAGCGTTAATCATATTATAAATTAAATATATTACATAAAATTGGTAATGATATTCTATCTAGTTACATTAATCTTTACTTATTTCGTTTTGGTGTTGTTATTTTTTATCTATCTATCTATCTAAATATGAGTTGGAAATTTTCCAGCTAATTATGGTTTTCAATATATTTTAAATATGGAGGAAAAAAATAAAGAAATTAATATAAGATTCCCGAAGAAAATAAAATATATTTTAAACATGAATATTAAAAAGAATCTGTATTTGTATCTTTTGTAAAGATGGAAAAGATACAAGATTCATTTGAGAATAAAGAATCTTAGAAACAGATACTAGTATCTTATTAAAAATATCAAAAAGATTGAATACAAGAAAAAAAAGGATCTTTATCTTAGATATAAGTCGCGGTACTGCCAAACTCTGTCTACCTATATATTATAGATGAAACAATATAATGTGCTCCTGCGTTATAAAGTTTAAAAAAAAGTTAATATATCGGTATAAATGCAAAAATTAAAATAAGCGAACAAATTCAAATCGCGTTAAATAAAAAATAAATTCGAAAGAATTCAAGCAATAAGATTATGAATGTGACGATCAAAAATACGACATCTAGATTGTAAATATAGTTAAAAACAAATATATTAGGGCTGCCCAATATATCACTCGGAGTTATTTTTGAGGTATAGCCCGATATTATTAAAAATCGTATATTTAAAAATAATAAGATAATTTCTCGAAACCGTACCTAGATTAAATATTTAGGTCTATAAGTCTTTTTTTTTCCTTTTTCATCATTTTATGCTTGATTACTTCAAAACAAAAGTAAAAAATATTAGGTTACGTTCAAACTTGATTTTTTGTTTTAACTCCTAATCCATTAAGATATATCTGAGTTTGATTATCGTTTTTTCAATTTTACTCATTTTTTATTTTATTAAAAATATTTATATTTTATCCTATTTTTAGTAACAAATTTATTAAAATTCTTTCCGAGTATAATTTTTTTACAATTTAAACAAACAATTAGAGGGTGTCCTAACTAGAGGTGGGCGCGGGCTTAAATTTTTATTCACGGCCCGCCCGCTCACGGTGGCAATAAAAAAATATCCCGCCCATTCACGCTTAACGCTAAAAAATTTTCGACCCGACCCGCCCAAACAATATTTTGATTCACGCCCGTCACGCCCGAAAATTCACGGTGTTTTTAAATTTTTTAAAATTATTACTTTAATTTTACACTTTTTTGAATTCATTCTATTTATTTCTCTAATTTCATAATCCAAATAACAAAAAATAAATACAATCTATAAATCGAAATTTATTTGGAAAAAGAAGAATGTCCATCTTTTTTTATTTCAATTGTGTACGCCTTTCCTCTAATAAGAGATTGACTACAGAAAATAACTTTTCACTAGAAGCCGAACTTGCAGCTGACAAAATTTTACTCGATAATTTTCTCAAAAAAGGAAATGAATATTCCTGCTTCCAAAACTTCAAAATATTGTCTTGATATTTATCTTATATGAATCTTTTAAGTTCATCCTCACAGCTTTCATCGGTAATGTTGATGCTTCATCAGAATCATCTAGAAATATACAGTCTTTTATAAGTGTAGGATGAATTAGGAAAGTGATAGTTGGTATTGATCATTTAGAATATACGGTTTTTTATAAGTTTAGGTTAAGTTAGGAAAGTTATAAATGTTAGTTGGCATCGACTTATGCATATCATCTAATTTTATATCATTAAGCATTTATAAGATTGTTTTATATATATCATTTTCTTCTTTTATTAAAAACTTAAGTCTTTTGAAATTCGGATCTAGAATTAAGCCTACTGTAGTGACTGCATAATAATCTTTTAAATGAAATCTTGTTCTGTATTTTAAGGTTTAGATTATTATTGTATCACGTTTAGAAGGTTAACAAAATTTTATTAATTTTTGTTTCCATAGAAAAACTTTATTTATTGTGGGACGAGAATCTGCTCTCAGATTATCCGAGCATTCTTTAAATATTGATAAAAATTTATCTAACTTGCGTAAGATGCTGATATCAATTGTGGCTAATCTATTTAATTCTTGCTTTCTAAACAAGTACACCTGTATCACAGAATATGATTTTAAGAAACTCTGTATCATGATATATACAGAGTTCCATCTCGTTATTTTCGCTATTACATATTGTTTAAGGGTGTGGCTTAGTTTTTTATTAGCTGTGTTTGAAATATTGTACTATTTTTTTACACCCTATATATTTAAGGCTATTTGAGTTAAACAATTGTCAAAATATAATGCATAATATTATTTAGTATATGGCATATACATGCTTAGCGTTTCGTCATCTTTGAATGCACTTATAAGATTTGCTCCGTTATCACTCACAACTATACATTTATTTAAGTAATTTTCTACTTCTATATATTCTCCTAAAATTGAATTGACTACACTTTTAATTTTGACTTTTTTTTCATCCATTGCCCTTGTGGCCAAAATAAATGTTTTTAATTAAAATTCTTAATGATAATATGTCCTATAATGGTTAAAAACTTAGATTTTTATAGTCATCTGTCCAAATATCAGTGATTATGGACAAGTAATTATTATCAGGCTTTTAATCTTAAATTTTATTATATGATATATTTTTGGACCTATACTATTCATGTTTTCCAATTCATAACTTTTATATTTTGTTATCCATATGTAACCCAAAATCCTTCACTTTCTGTTGCATTTAAAGATTGAAGATCTTTACAAATAAAATATAACTGACTTTTCAGTAAAAAGTTTAAGCAAAATTTAGCAAACGCGATAAAAAACGCCTAAACATAAAAAGAAAATAAAACTAACAAAATGATACCGGATGTTGTTTATAAAATGCGGA